ATTTGGCTCATCACAACTTGTCTTGCTTGTGTTTGGAAGAGCTTTTCCACTGTACAGATGGTGACAGGTGCCTACAAACACAAGGTTAACGTTGACAGAGCATAGCAGTGTTAATCTTCATTATTGTCTTAAAGGAATAGTTCACTTAAAAATGAAAATTATTCCATAATTTACCCATGCTCAAGCCATCCTAGGTCAATATGCCTTTCTTCTTTCAGATGAATACAATCAGAGATATATTAACTAATAACCTGACTTTGTGAGTTTCTGAAGCTCCAAAAAGAACATCCATCCATCCATCCATCATAAAAGTAATCCATACGACTCCAGTGGGTTAATGAATGCCTTCTGAAGCAAAGCGATGGGTTTTTGGAAGAAAAATATCCATATTTAAAACTTTATAAACTATTATCACTGACTTCTGGCAACTTCTGTGTTCACGAGTTACAACATATGATAACCTTTTGAGTTGTTTGGCTATACTGTAGATTTGTGTTCATATCCATTTTAAAATGTGCCTCCACATTCCTCAGTTCTCACCTTAGCTTCTGTTACGTCTGTGTCCTACATCATGCACTGGATGGCTTGAGGGTGAGTAAATTATGGGATAATTTTTGGATGAATTGCTCCTTTAAGGGTCACATCAGCTTTGATCATGGTACTAGGTCTGGAGACCCCAGCAAAAGCAAGTATTTTTCTCATACAGAATCAAATGAAGAGTTTTCAACCTGGGCCATGTTTTGTCTTTGTTCATCAGGGCTGAAACTGATCAGTTTCCTCTTACTCATGCATATGAGGTCATAAATGTACCACCGACACACACCACAGCCTGAAGAGGGCAACCAGTGCATCCTGAACCATGTTCTGCTTCCTGACTGTCTTCCTCAGTTCCCCACATCTTTTTGTTAGCCCTGAACACACTTCATAACCAAACATTTACTTTCAACCTCAGTGCTTTACGTGATCACTGGTAATAGCCTTTATTTACATTTTCATGGATGTTACGTACTGGCAGCCGCAGTGATTGTCATGTAATGATAGGACATGCTTAGTTATGTGTTGGGCCTAAAGGACTCTTGGCAGTCATGTCCTAAACTTGGCCACACTTGCAGAACATATGGGGGGTGGAGAACAAGGTTAAACACTGAGCACATGTTTTCGTGTAGCGATGGTTTATGTGCAGAGCTGCATTGAGAAGCATGTGAATTGCACAGTGGATGTGCAACCTGTACATTTCAGCTGAATTCCTTCTTTACCAGGGTAGACTTGGTGGAATGTCCAAAATAACTTTCGTAGTTTGGCTACCTGTTAAAAGCAGTCCTAATGCAACATCGCAAAAAAATGGCAAGGGAGCTTAATCTCCCGTCACAGTCTCCACCCTTCACCGCAGCCTGCTAACTTCTCCCAGATGTGTATGTCAATGCACTGTTGGTAACACGAGTTAAAACTCATAGAGGTGTGTAGGAGCCTGCATAAAGAGCTCTGCTGAGTGTGCACCCGTGAAGGAGGGGCTTCGTGCCTTTAATCTCTCTCAGGGTACAGAGAGAAGCCAAAAGCCATCGCTCCATTCATACAGGGAAATTTGAGTGCGACGGTTTAAAGCAAACACAGACGGACTGTCCCATGGGGCTCTGTCTGAGAGCCATTACCCCTGATTCTGCATTGCGGTGAACCCTTGAGTACCTGTGTCTGCTTTATATGTATATAATCGGATAATATATGCAGTTCACGTTAGAGTTCCCTGTCTTTCTTCTGATAGTTTGGTCATGTTATGGAAATCAACGTTCTGTTTGTCAGGGTAATATATAGTCTTCTCATCGCAAGCTGGTTGGCCTCACAGGCAAGGTATTGTCATGCAGAATTGTGTTGAGTAATGCACATCACTTTATTCACTCGTGGCTTCGGTGGATGACTCCCACCAAGAGCATTCTTCACCAGCATGACAGTGACAGCAAGCACAAATAATAGAACCCAGACAGGAATTTGGGCAGGGTGTTTTGGAAATAGGAAAGTGGATCGCATTGGCAGTTTCACCAGAACACACGGTAGGAAATGCAGGAGAAAATGGGAAAATAAACGGTGTTGGTAGGCATAATGATTGGTCGTAAAACTCTTTTGAGTCCTGCTTTTATGAGCATTTGTAAAAAATTTAACGGAACTTGAAAAGGGACCCTTTCAGTGTGCAAGTTAACGAGAGGTGGGACGAAATGAACAAAGGCCTGAGATCTCGCCCACTCCTCTTTCCCACACCCACCCGTGGGTGACTGAGGGGGACCGTACTGCTATGGTCAACTGATGAGTTATGCTTCAAACATGTTGTGGGTCATCTCGGTTAAGTTGTGAAACAACTTCTGCATTCCTAGTTGAGGCACTGTGTGGTGGAATGTAGGGTTTATTCCTACCAGGCTCGGCCACCACATCTCCAGTGACCCCTGACACTTGGACTGGGCCCCTTCCCATGGAGCCTAGTCAGGTGACTGCAGTGCAAGGCACAGCATTGAAACATTACTTTATTTGTTTAAGCTGTCTATTTCTGAATGACAGCATATGATACATTTTTTCTCCGCTTTCTCTGGGCAGAGTTAAATGTTTGTAGGCCTTGTTTGCCTAATCTCTGCAACCACAAGACAAATGATAGTTTAAAAATCTATGTTTTTCAAAAAGAAAAAAAAAAAATACAATTTTGCCCTCAAGTTAGTATTGTAGACAAGTCCATAACCCAAATTTCCACCATTTAGTGCCAAACCTTTAATGAACAGGATTGTGGTTTGCAACATTTGTTTGTATAAAAGAATGTATGAAATAATCATTTGGGCATGTTGTTCATCAGCTATTGACTCAACATCCCTCTCTTTTATGAAAACTGCCAATTAATGAAACCTTCTTGGGCAATATTGTTGCCTTTCTTGAACCTGTAGACTTTGTTTTCTGTCTGGTAGGCACTGGGCCATTCACTTTGCCCTGGAAATGTCTGGAAACAGCCAGCTGTCCTTTGATCACTGAACTGAATTTGTTTTCCCATCATGCATCAGTGCAGTGAGGATTACTCTGTCAGGAGTAGTTTAGGCTTGGTGACTTATTGGCTTGCCCTTACTCTCAGTCCCATTGGAGGTTAAAGAATCCACATTGGGTCTGTGCCGATACCAGCCCGTACTGGTCACCGGGAGACAGAATGGAAAATCCAGTGGAGTCTAGTTTCTGCCAGGCAAACCTAAAAAACACATTCATTGCCCCAACTCCAAGTCCCAGCTTCCAGGATCAACTTTGTATTTGCTTACCTACAAATTACACCTTTCACCAGTCCCTAAGTTCCGTTATATGTTCAAAGTTCTTCTCAGAAAAAGACAGTTGAGGGTGGACATTTGGAGAACAGTACCCTCCTAATGAAGGCCAGAAGCAGAAACACTTCAGTGTGTTTCCTATCAAGAGACTTGCAGTTGTGGCTGAAATTCCAGGACATAATAAAAGCCTGTCTGGACTCAATCAAAATAATCAGGCCGACAAAGAGTCAAACTAAGAACAACTGCGGCTGGATGCTTTGAGGAAAATTCGGAAGCTTTTTTAAAAATTGATTTGAGAGTAATTGAACACAAGGTGGGCATTTTCTTGCCTTTATTTCCCTGAGAACTCATGCTGGGAAGTCAGTTAAACTTGCACTGGAAACTATACCTTATATCCACAACGAAAAGTCCAGGTGTGGTTGCTGTCTGACTCAGCACAGAGGGGGATAAAAACATCATAAGCAAGTTATGTTTGTGTTCAAAAAGAAGCCTTATTAAAACACTCTGTGCTACTCAAGTTATATTCTATCATTAGTCTCACAAGTACCTCACCAAGGTAAGCAGGTCCCCGTCCCTATGGGGGCATTTCAGTAATGCATTTCTGTTTTAAGATGTGTTGTGTCAGTAGGACTTGTGATCACACTTGATCTCTTAGGGTGCTTTAACACCTGGCCCGTTGTTTCGGAAACCTGGCGCATTTCCCCCCTTAGCTCAGTTCGTTTGGGCAGATGGGAACACGGCAATCGCGCTTGAATCCGCGCCAAAACAATCGGTCCGAGATTGCCTGAACGAGGTGGTCTCGGCTCGATTGAAAACGAACTCTGGAGTGGTTTGCTTGTAGTGAGAAAGCAATCCGATCTAACGGACCAACGGACCAGGCTATATCACAATGTATAATGGGTAATTACGTAAGTTCCGTGAAAAGCATTAGCTTTGTTGTTTTGCTAATACTTCAAAATGAACCTGTGAATGTCTGTGGGTGAGCACGTCTTCGCCATTCAAAATAAAAAAGCGCACTTTTTCATTTTATAATGCCAAACAAAAAAACAACAATAAGCCCACAAAGCTGTTGTCGTTCCATCCTGACGGATGACAGCCGTGACAGCGGTGGAATCCCGGAAAATAAACTGTGGAACTTTGACCAATGAGAGAACAGTTTACTCGCACGTGACTTGTATTAACAAATTTGGTCCGTTTAGAAACTTTGCCGTGTGAAAGCAAACGCACCAAGAATAAAAAGCAACATTGAAAAAAATTTTAATCCCTGTTTCGGAACAAAGCAATCGATCTACAGGTGTGAAAGCACCCTTAATCTACGTGCTCCAGTAACATGGAGCTCTTACAGCACTTATCAGCATACATCAGAACATGCAGATACCTTCATCTCTGCTGAATACCTTGAACAGAGACCGTTGTGTTCTGTCACTAGTTGAGGGTACGTTTTTGTAATGATGGCCTCAAAGGTGGCCTCATGTTTTGAGTTAACTTGCCAGAAAAAGCATGTTACATCAATCCATGGAGCATCTGAGGGGTATAAACCGTCCAGCAGGTTTGATTAGATTTGTTTGCTTGTCCTCATCAACTTCATATGAAGCTTTACTTTCCAACAGTACGAAGGCTGAAGTTTAACAAACTTATCCAATCTCTTGCTTTACCATGTTTCTGTACATACTTGAGGCTTAAGCTATTAACAGTTGTCATTCTTGTTTACTCTTGCAGAAGAGGTTGACTACAGCAACTTTGGCACCAGCACTCTGACCCGGAAAAAGAAGGCCGTGGTCACTCTTCGCAACGACCTGAACCGCAAACGGCCCCACATCCGCATTGGCATGCCTCAGGATTTCCGTCCTGTGTCATCCATTATTGACGTGGACATCCTTCCTGAATCTCACCGGAGAGTTCGACTCTACCGGCATGGCTCAGACAAGCCCCTGGGATTCTACATCCGTGATGGAACCAGTGTCCGTGTCACACCCCACGGCTTGGAAAAGGTCCCAGGTATCTTCATTTCCCGTCTGGTACCTGGAGGCCTGGCTGAGAGCACGGGCCTGCTGGCCGTCAATGATGAGGTCTTGGAGGTCAATGGCATCGAGGTGACAGGAAAAACGTTGGACCAGGTGACTGACATGATGATCGCAAACAGCCACAACCTTATCGTGACCGTGAAGCCGGTGAACCAGCGCAACAATGTGGTGCGCAGCAGTCGTATCTCGGGCAGCTCAGGTCAGTCATCCGACAGCAGTGGTTCGGTGGGATACCCCGCCATCACCGCTCCCACCGGTGCCACTGCCATCTCTCATGGCTACAGTCCAGATGATCTGGAGAGTGACGAGGAGTCGGACATCGTAATTGAGAGCAACATGAAGCGCCCATCACGCCGCTCCAATGCCTCGGTGGCTTCAACTGCATCCCGGTCCCAGACGCAAATGACCACAGTGACCCCTCCCAGCCCCCCTACGCAACCCCAAACGAGGCCGCCATCCACCGTGTCCACAGCCTCTTTCCACTCTCAACCGAGCTTTAATGGCACAGTGCACAATAGTTTGAGTTACAAGTTGCACAAGGACCTTACCCTCCAACACCACCCCTACCACAGCAGCAACCCCGCTATGCGGGAGAGCAACGGCAGCCTACACAAAATCCTCAGCAGCCTGAGGACAGACCCCCGTCACAGCCTGGTTTTACCCAGAGGAGGGGTGGAGGAGGATGGCACAGTCATCACTTTATAGTACATAGTCACATAAAATCCAGCCCTCCCAGAGACTCTGCCTTTCAGCCTGGGACATCAGACTTGACTTTGAACCTCGCCAAACTTTTAAGGGTTTTGGAAAATGAATAATTTAACAGAAACAATATCTGCAATTTTATTCTTTTAAATGTTTGCTTTCCCTGTGTTGTAATGTCAAAAATGTTTCAGATTTAGTGGTATGTGTCTCTTTTTCTAAGCAGAGCCACTTTTTTATCTTTGTCTATCAGTGTTTCTCAGTTTTTGTTTTGAGGTTAATTTTTATCATGTTACCTAAATATCTCTTGGGACCAGAAATTGGGTTTAGACCTGTGCGTTCTGTTGTCTTCTGGTTACGGTTTGTATTTGAAAACAAACATTTGCCCCGGTGTAATAGAAAAGCCAGTTGCATTAGGCAAATGCCAAAATGAATTTACACTTAATCAGAAACACACATTTTTGTTTGCCTTGCCCAATCTAAGTTAATACCTGAATAGTATTATTATTAATTATCATATTTTTTAGTGATAAATATGTATCTGCTGTATGTGTAATACATTTATATGCACTAAATATACTATTTGGCAGATACCCTCAGAATGTTGGTTTCCAAATATATGAATATCACTTGTGTCAGCATTCAAAAAAGGCTTTTTGGAAATTGCGGAAATTTTGTTTAGATTACCATCTCAGTTAAAATATCATAAAATATGCTGTAAGACATTAACTATTATGTTGACTTTGGTCTTGTAGGGTTTCATTTGTCTTGGTTTCTGGTTTATTTGACTGCAGTGGAGTGTAATGGGTCATCACTTATAGGTATTTCACACTTGTATGTCTTCTTGAAGACCTTTTGACTTCGAGAGTACAACAGAATGTGAGTCTGTTGGTTCTCTCTGTGTTTAGTCCGTACACATATTTTCTGTCACCTCACTGTTAATGAAGCCTCACCTCTGACCTCCACTCAAATCCCCACAACAGAACAGAATGCTGTCTCGTAGTAGTCAATAGTAGTCATCTTTAATGGCTTTTGTGTTAATGCAGCCACTGAGCATACTTAAAGGGATAGATCACCCTAAAATAAAAATTAAATAATAATTTACTCACCCTCAGGTTGTTCCAAACATGTATGAGTTTCTTTCTTCTGTTGAAAGATGTTTTGAAGAACCAAACAGTTGACGGTAGCCAATGACTAACATCATTTTTTTTTTTCTCGAGTCAATGGCTACCATCAACTGTTTGGTCACCAACATTCTTCAAAGTATCTTCTTTTGTGTTCAACAGAAGAAACTCATACAGGTTTGGAACATGTGAGGGTGAGTGAAAGATGATTTTATTTGGAGAACTGTCCCTTTAAGTCCAGTCAAATTTCAGGTATTAAATGGATAGTCTTATATCATCCTGTTATACAGTGGGAACGCACAGTTTATACCCAGTAATTTTGTTTATAGAGAGAGAGTCTGTGGAATCATTTTTGTATAAAATTTAAAACCACTGTGGATGTACCTTCTTTTGCTTTTAGGTTGACTGCATTGTTTTTATCTTCTTGAACAAAGACTTACCTTCATATCCACCATTTGTGTGCCTTACTGCCCCTCCTACAGACATACTAAACTCAAACAGACGAAGTATTTGGATCTGACCACTGGAAATATTGTCATTTTGGTAAAAGCAAAGACATGGTATGTAACACGTGCGTGTGCGAGTCGAAATACATTTGTTGTGAGCGCCATCTGCTGGTCACTGTCTGAACTGCGTCTCTTTTGCTGAAAATCACATTCTTTGTTTTGCATTAATACTTTTTCATTCGTATCACTGTTGATGGCTTGGTTCGTCTATATGTGTATCCACTGACAATAAATACAATTAAAAGAAATCCAAAACAAGACGAGCTAAAAAGCACATTACTAAAGAAAAAGGGTACAACAGATTATGTCTTAAGTCAGTTTCAGTCATATTTATGGTTTAACGCAATATATTTCAGTGTCTAAATGATCCTCTTAGCACAATATATTAGTCAGGCAGTCAAACCACATTTAAAATGGTAGTTTAAAGCCTTTTCAGTGCAAAAAATACATGTGAATATTGTCTATATTGTTTTTACTGATGTCAGTCGTTTTTTAAAAAAGTGCATAATAAAATTCAGAGATGGATAAAATGCATTTTGTTGTTCTTTCATTACTTTTTCAATATGTATGAGCTCCTAAAAAACAACACATTTATTTTGTGTTTGCGCACATTCTATTCTATTCTATTCTATTCTGTTTCACAAACCATTTTAAATGAAATAATGTTATATGTGACCCTGGACCACAAAACCAGTCATAAGTAGCATAGGTATATTTGTAGCAATAGCCAACAATACATTGTATGGGTCAAAATTATCAATTTTTCTTTTATGGCAAAAATCAGGATATTAAAAAAGATAAATATCATGTAAGTAAAGATCATGTTGCATGAAGATATTTTGTAAATTTCCTAATGTAAATATATCAAAACTTAATTTTTGATTAGTAATGTGCATTGCTAAGAACTTAATTTGGACAACTTTAAAGGTGATTTTCTCAGTTTTTTTTTTGTTTTTGTTTTTTGCATCCTCAGATTCCAGATTTTCAAATTGTTGTATCTCAGCCAAATATTATCCTATCCTAACAAACCATACATCTATAGAAGGCTTATTTGGTCAGCTTTCAGATGATGTATAAATCTCATTTCAAACATTTAAAAAACGTTACCCTGGTTTTATGATCCATGGTCACATATAGGCCTATCAATACCATCATTGGACAGGAAACGCCAATGTCAGCTAATCTAATATAAAATTATACATATATAGATATAAAATTAATAATTACATAATATAACATTAATACTTGTACATAATCTATCTACTGTGTTTTTTAGTTTGACCCTTGATGTCACATGACCAGCATGAGGCCGAGCCGTTCTCTGACTGGCTGTTAAACCCGCGCATGCGCACATGCTGCTCTGCGTTCACTTCCACATAAACAAGAGCGGTGCAGTGGACAGCGAAACATGGAGCATCGCTTCGACCGAGCGGCAGCGGTGCTGTCACCGCTGGAGGAGTCCAGCGCGGAGGTGAGCAGAGACAGCGGCATCGTGTCCCAGAGCACCAGCAGCCTGTCTATGGTGAGCGAGGCCCTGAGCAGCGGCACTGTGTCTCAGAGCCCGAGCTTCGGCGCTGCAGTGGCCCAGAGCCCGAGCTCAGCAGCCGGAGAAACCCAGCCGGAGCAGACACAAGACGACGAGCTCCTGAGACACACCGCCATCACTTACTCCTCTTATATCAGAGCCAACGCGGAAGAAGAGGTAAGGAAACACGAATGTTGTGCCTGTTTAATGTAATGCCAAACACCAATTTACACACGCACAAAAAAAAACTAAATAAAATCAGGACAGATAATTATTATTTTTTTATTTGACAATGAAATGTGTTATTATATTATATTATATTATATTATATTATATTATATTATATTATATTATATTATATTATATTATATTATATTATATTATATTATATTATATTATATTATATTATATTATATTATATTATATTATATTATATTATATTATATTATACAGCTTGGTTAATATATTATTATATTATTACGTAAGATAGTATGCTGTTCTTCTAAATATTAGCACAGCTGTGATTTGGACAAACTACAACAAATGTGATATTGCTATCCAACAGGTATTTAAACAAGAATTGTATACATACATACATACATACATACATATATACATGCATATATATATATATATATATATATATATATATGTAGTGGGGGCCAAAATTATTATAAGGCTA